AAAAAAAAAACACCTAAAAAAAATTATAAATTTGAGCACATGCAAAACTCTTCAGTGGCTCCCCATTTGCTTTAGGATAAAGTCACATATCTGAACTAACCCAGCCTCCAAGGCCAAGTCACCCCCAGTAGCCTCTCTGACTCCATCTTCCACTCCCCTTTGCATTCCAACTTTGCTAAACTGCTTGTGACTCTTCCTATATCCCCAGCACCTAGCACAGTGCTCAGCAAATGTTTACTAAATAACAATAGCTGTATTTTAACACTGGCTTGTGTTTATTGAACACTTATTCCTTTTTTTTCTTTTTTTTTTCCGAGACAGAGTCTCACTCTGTCTAGGCTGGAGTGCAGTAGCGCAATCTTGGCTCACTGCAACCTCCGCCTCCCAAGCAATTCTCTCTCTCTCTCTTTTTTTTTTTTTTTTTTTTTGAGACAGAGTCTCACTCCATGCCCAGGCTGGAGTACAGTTGCACGATCTCAGCTCACTGCAACCTCTGCCTCCCGGGTTCAAGCGATTCTCCTGCCTCAGCCTCCCCAGTAGCTGGGACTACAGGCACGTGCCGCCACAACTGGCTAATGTTTGTATTTTTAGTAGAGACGGGCTTTCACCATGTTGTCCGGGCTGGTCTCGATCTCCTGGACTCAAGCGATCCGCCTGCCTTGGCCTCTCAAAGAACTGGAGTACAGGTGTGGGCCACTGCACCTGGCCACTCAAGTGATTCTCCCACCTCAGCCTCCTGAGTAGCTGGGATTATAGGCACACACCACCACACCCAGCTAATTTTGTGTGTGTGTATTTTTGGTAGAGACGGGATTTCGCCATGGTTCCCAGGCTGGTTACGAATTCCTGGGCTCAAGCGTTCTGCCTGTCTTGACTTTCCAAAGTGCTGGGATTACAGGAGTGAGCCACGGCGCCCAGCCTGAACATTTGCTTCTCACCAGTGTTAAGTATTAACACTCACAGTGTTAAGTGTCTTATGTACATTATACTACTTAAGCCTCAGAATTCTCTATTAGGTTCTTTCCCCATTTTACAGATGAAGAAGCTCAGGCTCAGAGAGGTTAAGCAACTAGCCTAAGGTCACACAGCCAATCAAGAGGAGTGTGAATCTGGTGCCCAAGCTCATTCTGTAAGCTGCTGAATGAAGAGGATGTCCTCCCCTCTTCTGGCCCCAGACAATTCCCCCTCACCTCACAACCACCCTCTTTCCCGCTTGCCCCTGGTATACCCCAACAGCTCTCTTCAGTTCAGCCTAGAGCAGCTCCCAGGGGGCAGGCAGGGGACTGAGACCTCTGCCCTGGAGTCCCCTGAGCCTTTCCCCTTCCCCTAGACGTGGAGCATGGAGCGTGGGCGCTGGGACACAAACTGTGCTCCATCATGGTGAAGCAGGAGCAGAGCCCGGAGCTGCCCGTGGACCCTCTGGCTGCCCCCTCGGCCATGGCTGCCGCGGCCGCCATGGCCACCACCCCGCTGCTGGGCCTCAGCCCCTTGTCCAGGCTGCCCATCCCCCACCAGGTGAGCCTGGGAACGGTTTGTAGGGGCTGAGGGAGGGAGGAGGGCTGGTGGGTCTGCGGGAAGAGTTGCCCAAAGCCCTGTGCCCCAGGGCTCTGTGAACAGCAAGACAGGAGCCTCAGGGCTGAGCGTGGGAAGCCTCAGCCCAGCCCAGGCCTCCGCCTGCTCCACTGGCTGCCCCTTCACCATCCTGCAACGGGCACAAGCCACAGCCCCCCTGGAGTAACAAAGGCTCTCGCCTGTGCAGAAAAAGACAACCTGCAGGGCTCCAGGCAGGGCTGGCATCAGGAGCCCAGTCCAGGGTCTCAGAGGTAGAGACAGCCCAGGCCGATGACTTTTCTCAAAGCTTCAGGATTTTTAAAAAAGAAAGACCAAAATGGAAATTACAAAAAAAAAAAAAAAAGTGTGCTATATTCCAATTGTTTACATTTATGAGATT